GCATTCTTAATACGTACAGGTAATAAAATTATTAGACTGTATTGGACTTAATATGAAATCCAATAGCAAACACTTTTTTTATAAAAATTCACCTGTACGTCTTAAGAATGCTTTGTCGTTTGTATTTATATGCGGTGCGATATCGTCGGATTACTGGAGTTGAATGACGGCTCCTTCTACTATCCCCATCGCATGCTGTCAGGAATGCCACAACCTCATCTACAATGCAGAACTGCACTAAGCGCCATCACCACTACATTTACACCTGTCGCGTGCACAAATGCACCCGTGACTGTCGTGAAAAACACTGCACGGAGAGAACTAACAAGACATGAGAACACAAGTAGAAGAATTTGTTTAAAGAAGACGCGCGGTGGTCGTTCAAGAAAGTGCTGCGTTGAGAATCAATCATCCTCGTACCCAGGGTCTTTTTGGGAAAGACCCTGGTATCGGCTGGTCACGTGACTCTACAAAAATTGATTGCCCAAGGGGGAGTGGCAAAGTATCAAATTACATGCTTCCACAGAAAACGTTAAATTTCAAATACCAGGAGTGGGATTTTACGATAAATAGTTCGAAGCGCCCGCTAACTTCTATTTTATACCTCCATTTGCTTTTAAATTACAAAAACACTGTAGCATTTTATCAACAGTCAAGTCAAGAAACAAATGAAATGTATACTTTAAACTTTGAAGTTGGGTATTCTCTTGAAACATATTTTCATGCCAAACTGGTCAGTCGTCAACGTTTGTACATTTTCACATTTATCTGTTCCTAAAATATGCCATTAGATTTGTTGTTTGAAAACGTTGATAACCTTTGTGCATATTTACTAATAGTACGCGTTTCATTTTATAGAGAAGGTTGATAAAATTTTGAAATGTAATTAACTTTTTGTCACAAATCACAATGTAAACATGTGGACACTGCCGAACAGAGACTGAAAGCTCACTTTAAAACTGTCGATGATTTATCTTTGAAAATACTTTTAAGTTAATTTAATTAATTAAATAGTTCGTCATATTTATTAAAAAACCCTGTAGATCGGTAGGGTAGGAGGATGGCAGGTAGTAAAGTACAACAATTTTCAGCCTCAGGGCTCAGGGCGTGTATCATCAGGTGGTATATACAATCACGGCTTTAGGCTGATAATTTTTTTGTCTCCATGCACTAAGTAATGGTGTAACAGTAATATTTATAACAGTATTTTTCTGATATACAGTACACACTTTATAATATGAACATAGTCAGTAGATAATTCCATAAACCACGGAATAAACAACGGCATAAACCACGGAATAAACACTGATATCACACTCATATATAGTCATATGTACCCACCATGCACAGATATATTTATAACACTTACATAGTCTTAGAGTTTGATTCAGTATTAAATTTCACAAATTACTTGATTACAGTAAAGCTAATGTGACAATTAAAGCTATTTATCGAATTTATCATGCGGACTGCATTCTCTAAATGTCCTATAAAATGTCAAACATAGGCTATACAGTATTCGTATTTGTAACATACACGCACAAATGAGTCTTTGACTTATCTTTGAGTAGGCTATTGTCGGATTATTTTACGGTAGGTTTGATAACATGCAGGGAGGTATACTTCGACATATTTCTTGAGATCAAGTTTCAACAGATTCTGGTTTTTCGTATCTCTGAGGATGGTTCTGAAGTTTCAGCAGTCCGAGTAGCATTGTTTACAAGCAACATTGTTTGCGATATTTCAGAAATCAAAAGATCTCTATAGTTGAACGTTACACATCTCAGTATTAAATAAATCCTTGTAGTTTAGGAATAGACACCAACAGCTAAATAACAGCCACATCGGTCGGTACTGGTGTAGAAATATATTTCCTTGTCAAACGTTTGCGACGTGTTGATTTCTTCGACGAGCTGTATCGGCATAATTTGTCTATTGAAATCTGATCTATTTTTGCTCACCGACATTCTGCGCACAATGAAATTTGATATTTACTATTGTGTAACATTGATAGTATTCATGACAAATAAAATATACAATTTTGTAAATATTTCCTGCATGATTTCTGGGTTATTTCTTCGCTCACTCCTTGCTCAATGACAAAACGTACTTAGGTACCCACCCTAATTGAAATTTTTTGTTATCTCCCAGATTCTGGGAGACACGTGACCAGCCGATAGCATGGTCTTTCCCAGCCGGTGGAAAGTCCCTGCGACGGAGGTTGAGAATCAATGTGTTATGTTGAATGTCCGAAAACATACCATACGATGTAAACAACATCTACTCAAGCAAACATTTGTAAACCAGTTGATTTTGTTTTAGGAAAACTGTTTAGAGTTGAGATCCTCTCCAGTCGTCATGAACTAAATCATGCGTTATGCCGATGACATTACTCTATTGTGCCGTCTTAAAACAGCGTTAGATCATCTTTTGGATATTTTAAACACATTCAGTCGGTCTTGGAGAGTTACATTTAACATTAAGAAAACTCAGGCCAGTTAATGCTTGGCTCTTGCTTGGCTCTGCCCACGCTGGCCTTATGACGTTCATGATGGACTTTACAACATCAGAGAGTTTTCCGACGAAAAAACAATGGAAGAGGATTGTAAATGAAGCTGTGCAAAGAAAATAAGAGTTGGCTTGGTCTGAAAAACTAAACCAAAAACCGGTTTTAAAGCTGTATGTGCAAGCGCATCAACATTTAAACATTAGTTTTTGGTATGAAATCTGGGATTTTGCTCCAATGAATTCAAGTATCGTAGTCGATGTGATTCGTCTGCTTTGTGGCTCTCTTAAAATCGATGGTATCAGGATTGAGAACTATAACTGGTTGCATTCGTTTTATTCTTCCTTCTGTCAAAGGTGTGTGATCAATCCTGTATATCATGCTCTTCTATATTGTATGAACACTGCAAACCAGAGAGAGTATTGGTGGACGTGGACCACAGATAACTTATCTGGAGATATAATGGCACTTCTTAATTTCTTGGACGATGACCAATTTGTTCAGTTAATTACTGGGGGTAAGCCGGCGAGTTTAGCTACAATCATGGACAGTCTGAACACTAACTTTTGGTTACGATGCGCTGAGTACATTTTTTTGCATGCAAAATTCACTCTTTGAACCCTTTGGGTGACAGGTTTTCATTGACTGTAGTCGACATTGTGTAACTGATATGTAAATTAGCTTGAAGACAACTTTCTTATATTTTATCTATATAATTAATATTTAAACTGAACTGAACCGAACTGGACTGGACTGAACTGACCTGAATTGAACTGAACTAAACTAAACTAAACTAGTTAGAGGAAGGTTGACACTTGCTTAAAATCCAAGTTACAATATATTCAAACCGAGTATAAGGGCAATAAGAGGGCCTCCTAAATGCTATTCCTTTTTTGCTCCAGCCGTTTAATTTAAAGTTCATTTCACTGCAAAAAGTGTTCATTTAGAATTTGAGGAAAATAATTGCACCCTGCATATATAGTGACTCAAAATATTGTATAAAATTCCTATTTATGAGCAAATTAGTTACTCGTTTTTGAGCTAGGACTGTAAATCTTTACTCAAAAGAGTGAGACCCCCGTCAAACGTCCTTCTTTTCATGCATGCACGCGACAAACCTAATGAATTTCGATACATACCGGCGTAAAAACGCACAAGTTGTAACAAACCTGCAACAGACTAGCTTGTAGAAATGCTGTTCGAACAACTTGTGATCAGGATGTGTTCGGACTGCTTGTTCCCAGCTTGTTGACAAGTTGTCAACGGGTTGTTGACAGCTTGCTACAATTAGGTTGTTGAGCTCAACAGACTTGTTACAAGTTGTTTCAACAACTTGTTATCGTCTTTCAATTCAGTAACTTGTCAACAAGTTGTGAGTGACAACCTTGTGGCAACTTGATAGAAAAACAGCATTGTTACGACTTGTTGACAAGCTTGCTATAAGCCTGTTGCGAACACATCTTGTTGACAATTTGTGAGCTTTTTACGTGTGTACGACACTAGAGCGACGTTGGACACAGGATGTCTCAAAAAATCGCTATGGAAATTCAGAAGTCTGTCGTGCATCATCAACTTAGCTAAACAATTCAATTTTTACATAGAACGAAAGAACAGTTATTTAAACTCATTACTAATAATTCCTTCCTTTTCTAGTAAAGATCAGACTTGGCTAGACTTGTTACAAGTCGACTCGCATTGTAGCCAGTAAAACGATTGAGCGAATAAAACAAATGGGCGAGCCCAGCGAGGGAGCGACTAATGAGTCGACTGTCGAGCTTGTAAGAAATTGCATCTCCTTGCCCGTGCCGCAAAATATTACATGACCGAACCGTACTAATTCTTATTAGTAAATATTTAAAATTTCCTAACAATCTTTCCTCAAATGCACTGTTTTGATTACGCATACAACCCATCATCGATCATAATGTATAGCCAATATTTAATGAGACCATTACTACATTAGATAAACCTCATAATATACGTGTTGCAATGGGACACAATGGATTCCCCGGTTTGAGATGCTTGATATAGGATATCAGGTGGTATGCTGTCAGTTGAACGCAGTTTTTTGTATGTATGTTCGTTCGTTAAGTTTTTGTTGTCGTTTGAATTCGAGCAATTTGGGAGTTTAAATCACATTCAAGGAGATATTGCCTCATACTCTTCCTTGTCCATGACCACAAAGCAATTGCCTTTAGGGATCGCTCATTATTTATTGTACAGGGGGCGATTGAGGGTAAACTGGGTGGGGCTTTAAATTTTTTAAAACCAGAAAGGGGGGGGGGGCTTTGAAAAACCTCCTCACAGTGAAGAACCTTGTCCTCAGTGTGAGGAACCTTGTCCTCAGAGTGAAGAACCTTGTCCTCAGAGTGAAGAACCTTGTCCTCAGAGTGAAGAAACTTGCCCTCAGAATGAAGAACCTTGTCCTCAGAGTGAAGAACATTTTCATCAGAGTTAAGAACCTTGTCCTCAAAGTGAGAAACCTTGTCCTCAGTGTGAGGAACCTTGTCCTCACATTGAAGAACCTTGTCCTCAGAGTGAAGAACCTTGTCCTCAGAGTGAGGAACATTGCCCTCAGAATCAGGAACCTTGTCCTCGGAATGAAGAACCTTGTCCTCAGATTGAAGAACCTTGTCCTCAGTGTGAGGAACCTTGTCCTCAGAGTGACGAACCTTGTTCTCGGAGTGAAGAACCTGGTCCTCAGAGCGAAGACCCTTGTTCTCAGAGAACTTGTCCTCAGAGTGAGGAACCCTGTTCTCAGTGTGAGGAACCTTGTCCTCTGATTGAACAACCTTGTCCTCAAAGTGAGAAACCTTGTCCTCAGTGTGAGGAACCTTGCCCTCAGAGTGAAGAACCTTGTCCTCGGAGTGAAAAACCTGGTCCTCAGAGTGAAGAACCTTGTTCTCAGAGACCTTGTCTTCAGAGTGAGGAACCTTGTCCTCAGAGTGAGGAACCTTGTCCCCAGAGTGAAGAACCTTGTCCTCAAAGTGAGGAACCCTGCTTTCAATGTGAAGAACCTTGTCCTCAAAGTGAGGAACCCTGCTCTCAATGTGAGCAACCTTGTCCTCAGATTGAACAACCTTGCCCTCAGCGTGAGGAACCTTGTCCTCAGAGTGAAGAACCTGGTCCTCAGAGTGAAAAACCTTGCCCTCAGAGTGAAGAACCGTGTCCTCAGCGTGAAGAACCTTGTCCTCAGAGTCACGAACCTTGTCATCAAAGAGAGGAACCTTGTCCACAGTGTGACGAACCTTGTCCTCAGAGTGAAGAACCTTGTCATCAGAGTGAAGAACCTTGTCCTCAGAGTGAAGAACTTTGTCCTCAGAGTGAAGAACATTGTCCTCAGAGTGAAGAACCTTGTCCTCAAAGTGAGGAACCTTGTCCTCATTGTGAAAACCTACTTCTCAGAGACCTTGTCCTCAGAGTGAGGAACCTTGTCCTCAGAGTGTGGAACCTTGTCCTCAGAGTGAAGAACCTTGTCCTCAGAGTGAAGAACCTTGTTCTCAGAGACCTTGTCTTCAGAGTGAGGAACCTTGTCCTCAGAGTGAGGAACCCTGTTCTCAGTGTGAGGAACCTTGTCCTCTGATTGAACAACCTTGTCCTCAAAGTGAGAAACCTTGTCCTCAGTGTGAGGAACCTTGCCCTCAGAGTGAAGAACCTTGTCCTCGGAGTGAAAAACCTGGTCCTCAGAGTGAAGAACCTTGTTCTCAGAGACCTTGTCTTCAGAGTGAGGAACCTTGTCCTCAGAGTGAGGAACCTTGTCCCCAGAGTGAAGAACCTTGTCCTCAAAGTGAGGAACCCTGCTTTCAATGTGAAGAACCTTGTCCTCAAAGTGAGGAACCCTGCTCTCAATGTGAGCAACCTTGTCCTCAGATTGAACAACCTTGCCCTCAGCGTGAGGAACCTTGTCCTCAGAGTGAAGAACCTGGTCCTCAGAGTGAAAAACCTTGCCCTCAGAGTGAAGAACCGTGTCCTCAGCGTGAAGAACCTTGTCCTCAGAGTCACGAACCTTGTCATCAAAGAGAGGAACCTTGTCCACAGTGTGACGAACCTTGTCCTCAGAGTGAAGAACCTTGTCATCAGAGTGAAGAACCTTGTCCTCAGAGTGAAGAACTTTGTCCTCAGAGTGAAGAACATTGTCCTCAGAGTGAAGAACCTTGTCCTCAAAGTGAGGAACCTTGTCCTCATTGTGAAAACCTACTTCTCAGAGACCTTGTCCTCAGAGTGAGGAACCTTGTCCTCAGAGTGTGGAACCTTGTCCTCAGAGTGAAGAACCTTGTCCTCAGAGTGAAGAACCTTGTTCTCAGAGACCTTGTCTTCAGAGTGAGGAACCTTGTCCTCAGAGTGAGGAACCCTGTTCTCAGTGTGAGGAACCTTGTCCTCTGATTGAACAACCTTGTCCTCAAAGTGAGAAACCTTGTCCTCAGTGTGAGGAACCTTGCCCTCAGAGTGAAGAACCTTGTCCTCGGAGTGAAAAACCTGGTCCTCAGAGTGAAGAACCTTGTTCTCAGAGACCTTGTCTTCAGAGTGAGGAACCTTGTCCTCAGAGTGAGGAACCTTGTCCCCAGAGTGAAGAACCTTGTCCTCAAAGTGAGGAACCCTGCTTTCAATGTGAAGAACCTTGTCCTCAAAGTGAGGAACCCTGCTCTCAATGTGAGCAACCTTGTCCTCAGATTGAACAACCTTGCCCTCAGCGTGAGGAACCTTGTCCTCAGAGTGAAGAACCTTGTCCTCAGAGTGAAGAACCTTGTCTTCAGAGTGAAGAACCTTGTCCTAAGAATGAAGAAAACTGTCCCCTAAGTGTGGAACATTGTCCTCAGTGTGAGAAACCTTGTCCTCGGATAGAAGAACTTTGTCCTCAGAGTGAGGAACCTTGTCCTCAGAGTGAAGAAGTTTTGTCCTGAGTGGGAGGAACCTTGTCCTCAGAGTGAAGAGCCTTGTCCTCAGAGTGAAGAATCTTGTCCTCAGAGTGAAGAAACTTGTCCTCAGAGTGAAGAACCTTATACTCAGATTTTAAATAACCTTGTCCTCAAACTGAGGAACCTTGTCCTCATGTGAGGAACCTTGTCCTCAGATTGACGAACCTTGTTCTCAGCACGAGGAAGGTTGTCCTCAGAGTGAGGAACCTTGTCCTCAGAGTGAGGAACCTTGTCCTCGGAATGAAGAACCTTGTCCTCAGAGTGAAGAACCTGGTCCTCAGAGTGAAAAACCTTGCCCTCAGAGTGTAGAACCTTGTCCTCAGAGTGAAGAACCTTGTCCTCAGAGTCACGAACCTTGTCATCAAAGAGAGGAACCTTGTCCACAGTGTGAGGAACCTTGTCCTCAGAGTGAAGAACCTTGTCCTCAGAGTGAAGAAACTTGTCCTCAGAGTGAAGAACTTTGTCCTCAGAGTGAAGAACAATGTCCTCAGAGTGAAGAACCTTGTCCTCAAAGTGAGGAACCTTGTCCTCATTGTGAAAACCTACTTCTCAGAGACCTTTTCCTCAGAGTGAGGAACCTTGTCCTCAGAGTGAGGAACCTTGTCCTCAGAGTGAAGAACCTTGTCCTCAGAGTGAAGAACCTTGTTCTCAGAGACCTTATCTTCAGAGTGAGGAACCTTGTCCTCAGAGTGAGGAACCTTGTCCTCAGAGTGAAGAACCTTGTCCTCAAAGTGAGGAACCCTGTTCTCAGTGTGAGGAACCTTGTCCTCAGATTGAACAACCTTCTCCTCAAAGTGAGAAACCTTGTCCTCAGTGTGAGGAACCTTGCCCTCAGAGTGAAGAACCTTGTCCTCGGAGTGAAAAACCTGGTCCTCAGGGTGAAGAACCTTGTTCTCCGAGACCTTGTCTTCAGAGTGAGGAACCTTGCCCTCAGAGTGAGGAACCTTGTCCTCAGAGTGAAGAACCTTGTCCTCAAAGTGAGGAACCCTGTTCTCAGTGTGAGGAACCTTGTCCTCAGATTGAACAACCTTCTCCTCAAAGTGAGAAACCTTGTCCTCAGTGTGAGGAACCTTGCCCTCAGAGTGAAGAACCTTGTCCTCGGAGTGAAAAACCTGGTCCTCAGGGTGAAGAACCTTGTTCTCCGAGACCTTGTCTTCAGAGTGAGGAACCTTGCCCTCAGAGTGAGGAACCTTGTCCTCAGAGTGAAGAACCTTGTCCTCAAAGTGAGGAACCCTGTTCTCAGTGTGAGGAACCTTGTCCTCAGATTGAACAACCTTCTCCTCAAAGTGAGAAACCTTGTCCTCAGTGTGAGGAACCTTGCCCTCAGAGTGAAGAACCTTGTCCTCGGAGTGAAAAACCTGGTCCTCAGGGTGAAGAACCTTGTTCTCCGAGACCTTGTCTTCAGAGTGAGGAACCTTGCCCTCAGAGTGAGGAACCTTGTCCTCAGAGTGAAGAACCTTGTCCTCAAAGTGAGGAACCCTGTTCTCAGTGTGAGGAACCTTGTCCTCAGATTGAACAACCTTGTCCTCAGAGTGAGGAACCTTGTCCTCAGAGTGAAAAACCTTGTCCTCAGAGTGAAGAATCTTGTCCTCAGAGTGAAGAACCTTGTCCTCAAATTGAGGAACCTTGTCCTCAGTGTGAGAAACCTAGTCTTCAGATTGAAGAACTTTGTCCTCAGAGTGAGGAACCTTGTCCTCAGAGTGAAGCACTTTTTTCCTGAGTGTGAGGAACATTCTCCTCAGAGTGAAGAACCTTGTCCCCAGAGCGAAGAACCTTTGCTTCAGAGTGAAGGACCTTGTCCTCAGAGTGAAGCACTATTCTCCTGAGTGTGAGGAACCTTGTCCTCAGAGTGAAGAACGTTGTCCCCAGAGTGAAGAAACTTGTCCTCAGAGTGAAGAACCTTCTCTTCAGAGTTTAAATAACCTCGTCTTCGAAGTGAGGAACCTTGTACTCATGTGAGGAACCTTGTCCTCAGATTGAAGAAGCTTGTCCTAAGAACGAGGAAGGTTGTCCTCCGGGTGAAGAACCCTCTCTTTAGAGAGAGGAACCTTGTCCTCAGAGTGAAGAAATTGTCCTCAGAGTGAGGAACCTTTTTCCGCAGAGTGAAGAACCTTGTCCTCAGAGTGAAGAACCATGTCATCAGACTGAGGAACCTTTTTCTCAGTGTCAGCAACTTTGTCTTCAGTGCGAGTATCCTTGTCCTCAAAGTGAGGAACCTGGTCCTCAGAGTGAAGAACCTTGTCCTCCAAGCGAGGAACCTTGTACTCAGAGTGAAGAACATTGTCCTCGGAGTTAAGAACCTTGTCGTCAGAGTGAAGAAACGTGTCCTCAGAGTGAAGAAACTTGTCCTCACAGTTTAAATAACCTTGTCTTCAAAGTGAGGAACCTTGTCCTCATGTGGGGAACCTTGTCCTCAGATTGAAGAACCTTGTCCTCAGAACGAGGAAGGTTGTCCTCAGAGTGAGGAACCTTGTCCTCAGAGTCAGGAAGCTTGTCCTCGGAATGAAGAACCTTGTCCTCAGAGTGAAGAACCTTGTCCTCAGTGTGAGGAACCTTGTCCTCAGACTGAAGAACCTTGTCCTCAGCGTGACGAAAATTGTCATCAAAGCGAGGAACCTCGTCCACAGTGTGAGGAACCTTGTCCTCAAAGTGAGAAACCTTGTCCTCAGTGTGAGGAACCTTGTCCTCAGAGTGAAGAACCTTGTCCTTGGAGTGAAGTACCTGGTCCTCAGAGTGAAGAACCTTGTTCTCAGAGACCTTATCTTCAGATTGAGGAACCTTGTCCTCAGAGTGAGGAACCTTGTCCTCAGAGTGAAGAACCTTGTCCTCAAAGTGAGGAACCCTGTTCTCAGTGTGAGGAACCTTGTCTTCAGATTGAACAACCTTGTCCTCATAGTGAGGAACCTTGTCGTCAGAGTGAAGAACCTTGTCCTCAGAG